ATAAATATCATTTCTTTAATTAATGTCTGACCTTTTTCAACCAGCATTTCTCTTTCTAACTTTCTCTTTTTCTGCTGTTGTCAGTCATGAAATATCTGTAACAGTCTTGCACTGGATCCTTAATAATGTCAGACTTTTAATAGTGGTAAGAAATTGACTGAATTATACTATTGCATACAAGTATGTTCAGATCTCTGCTATAAAAATTCGTATAAGCATTATTTTCCTATTAAGTATTTATCTTAAACTGTTGTTTCATGCTTTGTACAAAATTTGCAGCTCCAAAGAGATACCAGATTTAAGTATATTTTTAGAAAATAGATATATATTTTTCTAGAAATACTTGAAATGGCAAGGAGTAATATGAATTTCTGTGACATCTTTTCTGAAGAAAATAGTAATACTGGCTTTACGTATGAGTATGTAGAATTTGACTGGTTTTATGGTTCTTTGTAAAAGAATTTACTTAACTTTCTTCAATTTAAAGAAAATTCTATGTAGGAAGTATACTACAGAATTGTATCATCTTACAAAATGCAAATGTAAATTAGTTTAAATTCTTACTAGTTCAGAAGATCTGGGTTTATGATTTCATTAAAGCACCTGCCTTGTATGTAAGCTGTTTGTGCTTGGTATTTAGCCCCTTGCACAAGTTGAAGTGATCATGCTAAGGTATTTATTATGCATTTTATAAAAGTGATATTTTTGTAAATGAAATGAAAGCTCTGAAGCATGTAACCACTTGCTACAATGTGTTCCCCTCCTCAGATTTTTTTTTTTTTTTTCCCCCCGAAAAACAGCTTCTTAAAAGATGCCGTTTTCTAAGGTGATCAGTTTTTTAAGTAAGAATTTTCTGGTGAATGTTTTATATCCAGACAGTAGCTTTGTGCTGACGTAACTACTATGGAAGGACAGAGACACTGAAATTGAAAAAGTGAAACGCATCTTTCCATGCCTTGGATTATAGTTTTTCTCAGTCTGAGTAAATAGAATAAAGGAAGTAACTTTTTTTTTTTTTTTTTTTTTTTTTAACTGTATTGGTCTATTTTGGAGTGTTAAAACAAAAGATAATCTTCCTGCACAGGATCGAGGAGATGAATTCACTTACACTGGGAGTGGAGGTAGAGATCTTTCTGGCAATAAAAGGATTGGAGAACATTCATTTGATCAAACATTAACACACATGAATAGGTAAGTTTTGAAGATAAAATTTCAAAGTATTCCAAAACAAAGAGCCAATTTGTAATGCTTTAATTTAAAACAAACATTTTACTATACTCGTTCACTTCTGTACGTGCTGCTTTTGTAAACAGTAGTGCCTCTTGCTGCTAAGAGGCATTCTATTAAGCATTATGTTTTGTTGATATAAAGAAACACACACCTAATAAAATACATTGCCATGTTTGCTGGTGCAGCTAGTAATCATGTTGCTGGTGGAAATGGCCCTACAATTTCCTTCAGAGGACTATACTTTAGTTTAATGAGAAGTTTGTCAGAACTCTTGGGTGGAAGTTTTCTGTTCCGGGTGTTTCTTCTCAAGTTTCTTCTTCAATGGTTAAATTACGAAACTTAAGTAGGAAGAAAACATGTTCATTTTCCCTGTATAAAAAGATATCTTTCCTATTTTGCTAGCCCTTTCTTCCATTGTAGTTTTCTGTGAAAAACACGGAGTCAGTGTGTTACTTTATCAAAAACAGATGCTTGAGAAAGAGAATGTATGTCCGAAAGATAAATTAGACATCTGCTTAATGTGCTTTTTTGTCCTCTAAAAGCCTGCCTGAACAAAGAGTTCTCCATCCTTTTCTGGTTCTAAGAGCATAATAAATATCTTAAGCAAAATTTAACAGTTGTGGGATGCTGAGATTGACTGAGACTTCTTCTTGTCCAGGCCTGCTTTTAGATATGATCTGGTAACGTCAAGCAGAGTGGATAGTAATTGTTTGAGGGTTGTTGATGCTTAGAGGAGAGAGAGAGGAAAATTGTGACTTCATAGGGCTGAGGGGCAGTGTAAAAATAAAGAAAGAAAGAGAAAAAGAAAGAATGAAAGAAAGAGAAAAAGAAAGAATGAAAGAAAGAGAAAAAGAAAGAATGAAAGAAAGAGAAAAAGAATGAAAGAAAGAGAAAAAGAAAGAATGAAAGAAAGAAAGAGAAAAAGAAAGAAAAAGAAAGAAAGAACGAAAGAGAGAAAGAAAGAAAGAAAGAAAGGAAGGAAGGAAGGAAGGAAGGAGAAAAAGGGGACATGATATGAACATAGAACAAGAAGGGAAGGAAGGTGAAAGTAGGATTAAGCAATAGGTTTACAAGCATATTTAGTGAGCAAAGCAGACTTGCTTTGTGAAACAGTTAAAAGCTGGACTCCAGCATTTCTTTGTTTTTAGCAAATGAGAAATGCACTGGGAAAGCTTGCCTTGTGGCTTTGCAGACATTAGTGTGCAGTATAACACGCAGCTGCTCTGTTACACACTTTGATACAGGTTCTCAAGCATTTTGATACCAAAGACTATGATGATTCCATGTAGTTCAATCAGTATTGGTTTGGCTTGTCCAGATATTTTGCCTTCTTCAAATCTTGTTTTCATGTAAGAAACATTTTTAAAGTCAGCAAGGTATGCCTTACTGTTCTGTACAGTGTGGGTTTTATACTTGTACCATGACTGTTTACAAACCATATTATTTCTTCTGTTTTCTGGTCCTTGGTTTGGTTTGAGTCTGATTCTGAAGGGTTTTCAGTCACTGGTCAAATCAGGCTGTGGTAGTAGAAATACTGTCTATTGTAGCAGTTTGGTCTAGTGTTCATGTGTTATGTGAGAAATTTCAGAGTTTTCTGCATGGTTCCTATGTACTTTTTTCTGTATAGCATTTTTCATCGTATTCATTACTCTTGTGTACACATTTAAAAAGCGTTAATATCTGTAGTCAATGGGGAATACGAATAGGGAAAGTTTGCCTCTTGTTACCATTTTCTTTTCATTCCCTCCATGCTGTTTAGAAAGGAATTATTTTTTAAAATGAGGCATAATAAAACTAAAAGGATTGATTTGTTCTATTTAGCAATGTCGGCCAAGTTTTCATTGGACACCTTGACAACAAAATATTTTGCTTTCCTATTTTTTTTTGTTACCATACATAGTAGCCTGGATCTCATTGCTTCCATCACTTCTGTGGCTGTTAAAGAATATATTGAGAAGTTCTGTGCTGCTTGATAAAGCATAATTAGGCAAAGAAAACAGATATAACTTAATTGCTTTCATTCTCAAAAATCTGTTGTGTGAAGCAATCTAGTTTATGAAGATTTAAAATCTCTCTGTAGGGCATTGGCCCTTAACTGTGACGCCCCGCTGGATGACAAAAATGGTGCAGAGTCTAAAAACTGGAGAGCTGGTAAGCCAGTCAGAGTAGTGCGCAGTTCAAAAGGACGTCGAATCAGCAAGTATGCCCCAGAGGAAGGCAACAGATACGATGGCATTTACAAGGTACCGATTTCTACAGAGTGCAACATAACATTTTTCTTCAGCTGCTTTGAAAAGTCTCACATGTGTTACATGGCAAATTCTTCATTATTACTCAAAAGAAGTAATTCTCTTTTCTTCATGATAGCTTTTTAGCTTTAGCTTATTCTGCAAAGAAGTGAAATGAAATTATTCTGAGCAGTGATAGTAGAACATAGTTCATAAGAGGAGATACATAAAGCTGAATATAAGCTATTTGATATGTGCCTACTGAGTCATATTCATCCCTGGAAATCAAATTATTTCCTTCCTCCTTCCAACTCTATCCTAGCTTTTTGTGCATTTAATGACTTCTCAGCATCTCAGATAAAGGTGTCTGCCTTTTAAGAGCACTATATTTATCAGAAATACAAAAATTTCGCACCTGAGGGCAGAGCTGATATATAATAGTAATGTATAACTTGATCTTCTCATTTCTTCTTGAGCAATTAAATTACAGTTATATGCATGTGTTTGGCTTGTGATAAAATCATGGCAGTAATTTTATATTGTTCTGTAGGTGGTGAAATATTGGCCAGAAATTGGAAAATGTGGGTTTTTAGTTTGGCGCTATCTTCTGAGGAGAGATGACGTTGAGCCTGCTCCTTGGACTTCAGAAGGAATGGAGAGGTCAAAGAAACTGGGTCTGAGCGTACAGGTTTGAAGCAGGACTCAACAGAGTTGTTTTTGTTCTCGGTTCCAGTAAACAAATTCCAGAACTATAAGTCAGTTAAAGCCCTGTTTTTTTTCTTGTGCTTCACTGTGGCAGGATTTAATGCCAAAACCCACTACAGATCATCTGCGGACTGAAAGAATATCCTGTAATATTAACCCAGCAGAAGGAATGGTGGATGAAGCTTTCTGCCTTAGCAGTGAAATGCTTTGCATATATGAATTGGAAAATTAAGGAGTTTGAATCTAGTTTTTTGAACCTTAAGCTGGAAAGAATGTCAACAAGTGACTATTGTTACAGCTGAGTCTGTCTGAGAAGTTAAAAAACCTGTGCATTTTAATGTATCTGCCTCTCCATGTGACCGAGGAGTTTGTACAGATAATATATTTCGGGCACAGAAATAAACTGATCCATGAGGACTGGGGCATGACAGAATCCATGAAAGATGGAAAGAATTAACTTACTGTTTCTTTTCTCAGGAAAGCAATGGTGTACCTTATACTACAGCATCATCTTCAACTTTGCCTGACTCATTTGGATAGTTGTAAGGGCATAGATGTGGATATTGGGTTCCTTTTAATACAGTTGAGTCTGGATTAAATTCTTTGACTTGACTATACTTTTTCAAACATAGGTATTCATTTAAATGTTTTCACCATCATCTAGGGTATTAAAAACTATTTTGCAGTTCTTCCAGTGTAGTCACAGGTTTTTAAAGGGTTTTAGATTAGTCTTTTTGGTACTTGAGTATTCCTGTATGCCAGTGGGTTTTGTTCAAATCTGTGCTTTTTTATTATAGTATCCAGAAGGTTATTTGGAAGCCATGGCTAGTAAGGAGAAGAAAGATAAGGTTAAAAAGCAAACTGTGAAACAGGAGCCAACCACGCAGAGTAATGGAAACCAGAAAAGGACAATTGATGATGGTATTTCTTTTTACTTTTTTTCACATTCATGAGCAAAACATGTCATATGACATTTATTAAGCTGGCAGCATGAAAACTTTGTGAAGTGTGAAGCTGTTTGGAATACTAATCCAAATTGATAAGCACTTGCTCTGTAATTAAGTAGTAGTGTAGGGATCTTATCCTACTAACTGCTCAACATTTTGTTGGTTTGGTTTGGTTTGGTTTTTGTTTGTTTGTTTGTTTGTTTTGGGGTTTTGTTTTGTTTTTTTTTTTTTTTTCTCTTGAGCTCTGTAGAAGAATGGGCAGTCTTCTGTGCAGCTGTGTGCTGCTGTCCAAAATAGTGCTGAACAGTATGAGTTGGAGTAAGGGATCTGATAGCTGAATATGAGTCAACGATGTGACCTGGCGTCGAAAAAGGCCAGCTGTGTTCTGGGGTGCATTAAACACAGCATTGCTGGCTGGTTGAAGGAGGTGCCAGTTCCACTTGGCACTGCCCTGATGCAGTCCCGCCTCAAGCACTGTGTGCAGTTTTGAGTTTTGGGCACCTCAGTATAAGGCGGACATCCATCTATAAGAGCATGTTCAGAGAGGGGTGCCCAAGATGGTGAAAGGTCATCAGGGCAAGATTTAGAAGTGACTAAGGTCACTTGATTTGTTCTGTTTGGAAAAGAAAAAGCTTAAGGGTGACCTCATCACAGTCTACAACCTCCTCAAGGGGGGCAGTGGAGGGGCAGCTGATCTCCTCCTCTCTCTGGTGACCAGAGACAGGACATGAGGAAATGGCATGAAGCTGCATCAGGGGAAGGTTCTTCCCTGAGAGAGTGGTTGTTCACTGAAACAGGCTTTCCAGGGAACTGGTCATGGCACCAGGTCTCTCAGAGTTGAAGGAACATCTGGATGACACTTTTAGTCATATAATTTAGTTTTAGGTAGTCCTGTTAGGAGCAGGGAGTTGGACTTGGTGATCCTTATGGTTCTCTTCCCACCTGAGCTATTCTGTGATTCTGCGTTTGCTGCGTTTCCTGAGTGTAGTCCATGTTGTAGCCTTCTGAACCACTTTTGTCTTCCCCTTTTATTAGCTCAGACTAACACTGTGTTGTTACTTTGTCTGATGGTCATAATCTTAAGCAGGTGTAGAAGAACCTATGAATACACCCAAAGCTATGAGGATGGGAGATGGAGGGAAAGGAGAGGCTTTCCAGCTGACCCAAGAGCAGCAGTGGCTGATTAGAGAAGACTGTATGAACCAGAAACTGTGGGATGAAGTACTTGCTTCTCTTAAGGAAGGACCAGTATGTTTCCTTCATGCATAATTTTAAATGCTTGCTCTTTCTTTAGACTGTTAAGTGAAAGCTTGAGTCTGTCTTAAAAACTAATTTGCTTGTTAAACTTTCGCTGAATACAAACTGTCTAGTATTATTTTTATTTGTAAGACTTTGTTTTCAAAAAAGTAATACTTACCTGTGCTGTTTGCTGTTGATGACTTGGTTTACACCTGCCTAATAGAGATCTTTTCTTGCTCAAAAAACATTTGGAAGTTACAAGTGGCCTTTTTTTTTTTTTTTTTTACACTTTGAAGGGAGTGTGTTTTCTCTGAAATTATAAATGTGATTTTGTGGTGTGCTGATTTGAGATTCAAACATGAAAAAGACAGTTGTAGTCATTACTTTTTGTTTAGTCAGAAAATCCATTTATGGCAGAAAATACAACCTGCTTGCTTTGTTTAAGAAGATAAAAGTACTGTCATCTTCAAATTTATATATGAAATATATAATAAAAAAAAAATTTCCATCCTACTCTAGATTATCCCACTATGTAGAGAGGGAACCTTAAGTAAGAGAGAAAATACTTCCCTTCCTGTAACTGTCAAGAAAATAGCAAGAATAGCTCAAGGTTGAAGTGACTATAGACACTAGTGTAGAAAAAGTCCACAAAATAAATACTATGTCTTTCAGTGACAATTTTACCGATGTCGAGTTTCTCAGTATTTTAGCTGTTTTGCACAAGAAATCAAGGCTCTAAGAAATTAAAATAACTTGATGAAACTAAACTCAGTGGAAAACAAAACATTGGTTGGAAAATTAATATCTAAAAATGGACATTCAAAATTAGTCTGAGAATTATCAGCAGCTATTTATGGTGCTTCTGTAACAGAAGAAGCATCTATAATTCCCCATTCTTCCACTTACAGTAGTAGTTTTTACTATAATACTCCTGCAGTTGTCTTTGTGTAAGAACAGTCTGAAATTACTCACTGTGATCTGTCTTCTATCTAGTGTCTGTAATAACTAGAAGGAATTTTGTCTCATAAAATAATTGGTGACAGGTAACAAAGATAAGTGTTTGTAAAAAGGATAAAATAATTTAAAAGTCGTTGAGTTACTGAGAAGTCATTTTTCTAAAGATTCCGACCCATAATTTGGGAAAGATTTCCATTTGGTTGCCATTAAAGGCAATGGAAATCACTGGTAGCTTTGGGTTGCTACTGTGAAAATATAAGTCTTTCTGCTCAAAACAACCACCTTCCCTTTTATCTAAATAAAATGCGGTTTAAGATAAATCTGGTATTTTAAGTAATTATTGCAAAGAACCATATTTTGATTACCCATATTTATGGTTTTCTTTCTATCCTCAAGCTTGTATTCATGAGATATTTGGAAATCACTGACATGTCAGAGGTAAACATGCTTGTGTTTGTAAAACACCTGATACAAACGTATCTTGAGATTCCCCAGAGATGCCCTGGGAACATTTATAAAGCAGGAAGATTGATTGACACAGTTCAGAGAATGTGTCTGAGAAGAAGCCATTAAGCTGGCCATAATCCATAAGCACAGGAGGAGGTGCAGAAGTGGCTTTCTTAGCAGAAGGTGTTCCTTTGGTAGAGAAGCAGAGGTTTTTCAGGGATGTGGAAATTGTTAGCAGCAGTTAGTAAACACAATTACTAATTTTTCTGACCTATGCTAAGAGTAAGGGAAGAGGGGCCCTCCAGTCTGTTTCATTTTGTTTATAACAATACTCATACAAACAAGTAAATCATCTTTAAAACATTAGTTCTTTGATTTGTGGAAGAACAGGGAAATGAAGCAGTTATGGATCTATTTCCTGATTACTTTTAGAAACCTGCACTCACAGATACGAAGGGCTTAAGAACTTCTGGAAGTTCCTCACTTACATAGTAAGTGGCATTTATGAGAACTGTAACAGAGTTTGTCTTTTTCATTCCTTTTCCCCAACACTAGAATTTTCTGAAGAAGCTGGAACAATCCTTTATGTGTGTCTGCTGCCAGGAGCTGGTTTACCAGCCAGTGACAACAGAGTGCCTCCACAACGTCTGTAAAGTAAGAATAAACTCGGTCTTGCTCTGGGCTGCTTTCTTGGCTCTGAGACACCAGTCACCAAAGCCATATGTATTTTAGAAAGACAGTAATTATTGCCTAACATTCTGAGCAAAAACATGCAACGAGTTTGCATTCAGTGATTGCTGTGTAACCTTAATTTTATGTAAGTAAGAGTGGAAATAAGTTTAGTATAGTTCCTGATAGATACAGTGAGTGAAGTTCACTATTGCTGTCTTTCCTTTGTGGTCAGTAGAATTACACTAGGAGTTGGTTTGATCCAGGACCTAGATATTGGTACAGTAACAATAATTTAATTTTACATAGTTAAGGAATAAAACCAGATTTTATAATTGTATAACACTTTTATGAAGTGTTGAAAGGAAGGAGGGTAAATACAAGCAAATTATTTGGGCTTATTTGGAGTAAGTTATCTTCTTGTTCTTGGCATTGTTTTTGTTTGGTAGGAGGGCCACAGAAGTCAGTTTATAACTCGTGTATCTCAGTGTAAGGACTGTGGGATCCAGTGTGTGCAGAATCGTGCACTGAATTGTATATATTTGAACTGTGCCTGCCATACCTAGTATTTCTGCCTAAGAGGCTAAAACGACTTAGACTATTGTCTTCCTAGTATAATGTCTGATAACGCAGGTTCACTGTTCAAGAAGACATGTTTCCCTCCAGTAGAAATCAATGCATTGTTATGGATAGCCTGCACACATAGAATGATGATGGCTCCTAAAAAACATTAAAACCATTATGAAGGGGTTAATATTTAGAATTATGGAAATTGGAAAACCATGGGGAAGATAAATCTGAATGGCAACAAACTGATAAAGCACAGGATTTGTCAGTAAATACTTGCGAAGACAAAACAGTATCCAGTTAAAGTTGTAAGGAATAGTTTTACAGTAAGCTGGTATTGCGTTATAGGGAGAGCTCTGCCCTGATAAATTTCTGATATTCAGCTCATGTGTTTGGCTATTTGCAGCCTGTGGTAACACAGTGAGGAAGACCACACTGATGCTAATGTGTTAGAAATTGTATTGTTCTACATATGTCTTTAAGGCTTAATTGAATCTCATCCAATGAGGTAGATAGAGATTATTACATATACAATAGGCCTGGTGTACTCACCTTCCTCTTGAAATGAAGGTCCGGAAAACTGTAACAATATTATCTGTGAACCACAGAATCATTAAGGTTGGAAGAGACTTCTAAGATTGAGTCCAACCATCAGCGCAACTCTACCATGACTACTAAGCCATGTCCCGAAGTGCCACATCCACATGTTTGTTTGAACCCTTCCAGGGATGGTGACTACACCACCTCCCTGGGCAGCCTGGTCCAATGCTTCACCACTCTTTCAGTAGAGAAATTCTTCCTCATATCCAATCGAAACCTCCCCTGGCACAACTTCAGCCCATTTCCTCTCGCCCTGTCCCATTATTTGGGAGAAGAGACCAACACCCACTGCACTACAACCTCCTTTCAGGTAGTTGCAGAGAGCTATGAGGTCTCTCCTCAGCCTCCTCTTCTCCAGACTAAACAGTTCCTATTCCCTCAGCCATTCCTCATAAGACATGTTCCCCAGGCCCCTCACCATCTTCATTGCCCTTCTCTGGACCTGTTCCAACACCCCTATGTCTTTATTATACTATGGCTCCCAAAACTGAACACAGTACTCAAACCGTGCTGAGTACAGGGCCACTGTTACCCTACTCTGAAGCTAGAAGGAAGCTTCAGATGTGGCTGTGATTCACAGGAAGGCACTAATAGAAACGAGGGGGAAATGCCACTAGTGATTTAATTCCTTCCAAGCTCAATGTTTCACATCCCAGCCCAGCACAGAATTCCTTTGTTAGGACATTTTAGTCATAGAGCCAGAGGGCTTGGTAATGACTTCCTTTTTTTCTAGTAGTACGGCAGATTACATCTTTGGCTTATAGTGGTTCCTTAGTCTTTTCTACTTAAGCTGTCAGTGTAAAACAAAGTTCTCACAATTTACTTCACTGCCTTTGTATGTCCTAGAGTTGCTTACAACGGTCCTTCAGAGCTGAAGTCTTCACCTGCCCTGCCTGCCGCTATGACTTGGGAAAGGGCTACACCATGGTTCCCAACAAGATACTGCAGACACTACTGGACCAGTTCTTCCCTGGTTACAGCAAAGGACGATGATGTGTTCAGATCCCTCCATATTTCTCCCACTGACTTTATAGAAAGTAAGAGTGAATAAAGATGAGGAATTCAACAGCGGACCAGCCAGCTTCATGGGACTCAGTATACTGACACATTTTGAAGCAGCTAACCCTCTTCCCCTCATAGCCATCTTTTTGGTGTAGTGAAAACTCTAATTCTCAGCTGTCTTTTAACATCAAGGGTAGTTTTGGCCAGCTGACATATAGTTTTTAAATAAAAAAAAAAAGAAAAAAGAAAAAAAAAAAAAAAAGGAAAAAAAAAGGAAAAGGAAAGTCTCAGCTCTTACTGGCCTAGCTGATGCTTAATTTATGATTTGTTTTTTTGTAACTACCTCAGGACAGAGGAAAATAAATCATGGGGATGATAAATAGTTAGTGACGTTTTTAGCTATACACTGCCTCCTGAATATTAGTTGTGCCTGGTCCATGTGGTTTGATTTACACACAAGAAAAAAATACAAACCAAACCAAAACCCCACAAAAAACAGAAAAAAAAAAAAACAACCGGAAACAGCACTTAAGCCAGCTGGATTAAAGAGCAGCAAATTCTGTGGTGTGCATAATCCTTTTTTGTCTTTTTCTTCTATTATGCTGTATTTTTTTGCAAGAACAGGCTGATTTTTAGTCTATTTTTGTGAGCTTTATTGTGCTTTTCTTGTATCTTATGCAAGTTGACTACTAATGACTAATGAGAACAATATGAATGCATTGTTGCTGCATTAGTGTAAAGTGATCTGTGTTTTTTGCACTTAAAGAGGGTATTCAAGACACTCTGGTTGTGTGAAAAATATTTCTTATAAAAAAGCCACTTATGTATTAGTTAAACTGTATGCTTTTAGTAGGTCTTGCATCAGTGGCAATACATCTACCCAGCATTGAAGGCAGTGCTAGCTTGGAGAGGATTCAAATCGCTTCATATTGTGATCTGAAATTTTATATACAATATATCCCCCCCTTAAATATACCTTATTAAATATTTTATGATTCAGAAAAGTTGCTAATTTTGTTTTTACTATTATCCATTTATCTAAATCACAATGATATTTTTTTCAGATTACTCTATGCATTCTTTAGAGGGGCTTGTTGTTTTTCAGACATGAAGCTTTAAATTCCTTAACTCATTTCTTAATGAAAAACCATTTAGTTAAGAAAGAAAGCCCCAAACTGGCAGTGATACCACTGGGCTCACGTACCATCTATAGCAGCTGCTGTCGTGTGGCTACTCTGATCTCTACTCAGGCATCTGAAGGAAGCTTTTTAGTGCTCATTCCATGTGGCACTGGAGTGGGAGGAAGCCTTTCCTGCCCACTGGTGTTGGCAGTGCTTGCTGCCAGAGCCAGCTTGGTGCAGGTGGGAGCTGGGGGTGCCCCACACAGCCATGAGCCAGAGATACCCACCGTTGGTGTGGGGCTGCACTGCCAGCCTGCAGCCTGCTCAGGGGGCGTGTAGAGCAGTGAGTATAGACGTAATGCTCAGTAATTGAAGGCCTTGCCCTTAGCCCGGTGCACTAATGCACTGCTTGTGAAGCTGCACGTGGCAGTGCTGGATTTTGTGACTGAAGATTAGCTTAATGGCTTATTCATTTCATTGGAAATAACTAACTTCTCTCTCCCCACTCTCCCCCCTCATTGTACTTGGGTTTTCTGTTGCATCCAAATTACATAATGCTGGTACTGTCTCTAGTCATGTATCAAAAAAACAGGCTTTACAGAACAGTTTTGACAGATTTAATTCTTCAGCTTTTTCTTTGCTCCCTAGAATGTGGGTTCAGCCTTTGTTCAGTAGGTGAATTGGTATTAGTGTTAACTATACAGTTTAACAGAGCTGTAGACAGATTTTTGCATCCTGTTGAATTTCTGTTTGACAAAACAGCAGCTCAGTATTCTGTGGGGAAATTAGATGTAATTTTCACCTTTGTAACAATCATTGCACCTGTGCAGTAAGCACCGAAGTCTTGTGGCTTTTTACTTAATAGTTAAGGGCTCTGAAATATATTATACCTTTTAATGCTTTTTTTTTTCTGTTTGATAGTTTTTACCAGTTAATTGATATAAATTTGTCAGTCTGAGGTCAACAATGGGAAGTTCTCTGCTTAATACAAGAATATGTAAACCAGTTTTATTATATATCTTTTCAGTGATGGGCACAATCAAGCAGCATGAAACTGCCTTTAACAAACATTAAAAAGTACCTTGACAAGACTGTGGAATTAGACTGGCAACACAGAAAGGCTGTCCTTTCCTCACATTACAAGTTAGCAGTGTGTTTTCACAATTTTTTCACCCTTAATGCTGTATCGGTGGCTGTTTTCCACACTGTGTATTTAGATGTTTCGGGACCTAGGTGCAGTCTTTCATATCAAAACTGTGATACCTGGTCTAACCTGATTTTAATGAAATCCATTCCTGTCACTTGTCATCTGCAATCTCTTTGTGTAATTAAAGCTGCCCCTGAAGTCATAAGGTAGGTAGGTAATGAAAAGGTTGCAGTTCTAAGCCTTTTATAGTGAAGGACACAAACGTACAGTCATTAGGATAGTGTTGTGAACACCAGCCTCATCTGTGTCTCTTCAGAGAAAGCTCCCAGACTTCCATAGGGTGCATGCAGACCTTCAAGAAGAGGTTGAATGGTGGTTGGAATGAGCATGACCATGCAGTCCTATCCCCAGTCTGAGTGTTACGTCAGAACCTGCTTCATCATTCACCACAACCCTGCTTGGTGTGGCTGGATGAGTTTGTCTCTACAGGAGATGCTCACTTGCATCGAAGGCAATGCATGTGCATGGACCCACCTTTCAAATGTGCTCCCAGCACAGGTGGTCTGGCTGTGTCACTGCTGGGAAGATGGGCTTTATATAAAATGGACCAGCAGAACCAGATGAGAAGAGGCTCTTGCTTAAGGTCTGTGTTGTGGCTACTAAGTAACTGAATGTGGTGGACAGTGTGCAGCAACAGCGCTCTGGTCTCATGGTGCTGTTGGTATTCTTGGAGGGCCAGAGCTAAACCTGTCAATCAGTTTTTACACAAGCTGCAGACTTGCCTGAGAAAGCAGCTTGAGTGCACTGTATAAACCAAAGCCAGTGTACAAAATAAAAGAGATGTGCAAAACTGTGGAAAGAGAATACTTTGTTAGACAAGATCTAACTCATAATAAGCAGCTCACAGTCTGTTAGAAAAGGTGTTTCATGCCTTTTCCATAGCAGGAGGAGAGGATCAGATGGGACTACAACGAAAAACTGATGTGATATAGAAAAAAAGTTGTTTGTTACTGCTCAGTAAAACTGATCATTCTAGCTTATTAAAAAAATCAGAGATTTATTTCCCTATCATCTGTCAGTATTTTGCTTTTTGTAGAAGCTGTCACTGCTGTGGCAATCTGACAAATCAGAACGTAAGCTTCATAATTTCATACTGCTCTGCTAGATAAATCCAGCTGAAAAGTTAAAATTCAGAACATGACAACACATAGAATTCTGACTAAGTTTATTAGAGTACTAACATTGGTATGTGAAAAACCTAGTATGAAAATTACCACTATCAGTGCTAGTGGTAATACATGAAGTAAATGAAACTATCTACTTCATCTTTTTTTACACAATATAAAAAAAATTACTCCTGCAGTTAATATTCATTACTATTGCCTTATGCATCTGCTTCTCCTCTACTTTTTTTAACTGTATCTTCCAGGACACTTTGCAGATTAGGTGTTAATTGTTAAAACTTTAGAACAAAACAGACAAAATGCTCAATCAAGGCAACTTCAACATCAACTGCTGTGAAACTATCACGTTTTGTTTACACCTAACATATTGATTGTATTTACATTTCAACTAAGCAGTGATTCAATTAACAAACGTGGTGATTATCCAGGATATACACAGTATATAAATCCCCTATCAAGTCTGGGAGGAAAAGGCCATCCTGATGGACTCAGAAATCCAGGCAGCTGGAAGCAGTCTTATGAAGATGCTCTCTTCTGTTCAGAGAAGGGAGATTCATAGGCTTCCATTGGTGGGCAGGTACAAACCAGATGTTGATCTCCATATATGTCATCAATGCGAGCAATTGTGGGCCAAAACTTGCTTTCAGGCTTCACAAATGGCTAAGTACAGAAGAAAAAAACAATTTTAATTTTTCTGCCAAGCAAATCCATACAATTGTAATAGACATTGGAAGTTTTAAGGATGGCAAATGCTGGAAAAGTGGATTTTTTTTTGAATGGAAGTCATACTTTAAATCTATTTGCAGTCACTGAATGTTAACAAGCGTGTATAAGAAGAGTTGGCAGTCAAAAAAAGTTTACATTTTGAAGCAGTACAAGTATTTGGTAGAGGACATGGTTGCAAAGAAACAGTTGTCATGGCGTAAAAGTAAACTGACCCTTTGAATAACTGGCTTACAGACAGGGACCAGGGAAAAGTGGAGGAGTCTACCGAGGCCTGTGCTGTTCAATATAGTTATAATGTAATCTATAAAAGAAGGTGCCAAACTTCACAGGTGCAGTTAAATTCTTCCTCTTTGAAATACTACGTAGCAATGAAATACAGGCAATTCAGTTACAAGTGAGAAAAGTTACATTTAGCCATTAAGACTGTAGAAACAACTTTGTGTGGTGCAAAAAAAAGCACATTTAGGGATTACTACACTGTTAGGATCCCATTATTTACTCACCAGTGGGAATGCTGCCACTTCTCTCGAATAAGGACGATCCCACTTGGAAGAAGTGACACAGTTCAGAGTATGTGGTGACATCTACAAGCAAAACTACATGTTTAGAACATGGAATTACTGAATTCAGCTGAACCTATCAGTACTAACCCTCCTTCAAGTTCACATTACAAAATATAAATAGTTACTGTCCAGAGAGTCTCTTGAGAATACCATTTCTTTGGGAGAAAAAAAATGCAGACTTAAAGGAGGAAGCAAGTCAGTATCTGGATTTTTTTTCAGTTTACCTGAACATGCTACCCAAGGTGTGAATACGCTTCCAACTTTTCACTAAATCTCCTCAGTATTTAAAAATGCTGTACAGCATTGAAAGAGTTGAACAGAACTTGAACCTACAGCAATTCTGTGCCACAGTGGCTAAAATAATACTTTTGGTTTTACTGTTAGTTTTAAGGTCGTTCCAATTCTCTTCTTGAACTAGATAAAGACGTATCTCTCCATTAATTTGAGATTGCCTGGAAAATTGTAGATCATGTGCTTACATAAGTAACTTTCTCTAGTCTTTCAGCAAAGGCCAAACTTCTGACTTGAAAAAGTCAAAATGCAAAAAGCTTTAGATTTCTAAAAATGTCAAATTTCAAGAATTTTATGTGTTCAGTGTTACACATAGTTCAAGAGTACTGAAAGACCAGGAAGCGGTCTCATGTAGTCTCAACAGTTAAACTGATGCTGGTAACTTGCTCTACATGCCATCTTACCTTTAGTGGATTAATTTGGGGGTCCATTCTGCCCTCTTCTATATCAGCAATTTCCTGCCTAATACTGATCATTGCATCACAAAATCTGTCCAGCTCTGCCTTGTCTTCAGACTCTGTTGGTTCGATCATAAGCGTCCCTGCCACTGGCCAGGACATGGTGGGAGCATGAAAACCTGATAGAGAAGAAATCGGTTACTGACAACAGGTCAAGAGTTAACATATATGCATTAGCTGTCAACCGATTCTCAAATTCAGCCCTTTCTACAATCTGCACAGGACTAAACTCATTGGTAGTGTTGCCAGTATCTTAGTTTTTGACACTGGAAAGTAATGCCATTGTATTTCTTGCAATAAATTACATACTGATACAATGAAATGCTCTTAAAACCTGCTCTTTCTGCTTTGTTACTGTTCAGCCCAAAGCATATTGCTTCTCTCCCAGGTTATTTCTGTAGAAGTGTTTTGTCACTTTACCTGCTGAGTGGCAAATTGAGATGGGTGTAGATTTCTGCACTGAGAAGCAAGGCAAAAAGAAAAGGTGATCTCATGACTCCCTTCCTGCAGTACCACTTATTACAGCCTCACGACACTTCTCATTTGGCTGCACAGGATGGAACTTTACTAAACCTAGCCGTGTAACTCGCCTCCATACCTACTGAAAAGTCTATTTAAAGTGGTCCATGCTGTTTAAGGCCATAGCAGCCATCTTCCACTTAGAAATAACAGAAAGAGTGGGGGTTCTTGGACTAGTTCACTGACAAGGCATTACTGGTTAAGGTTTTAACAGCTTTTATGCATATCTGTTAGAACCACAGTTGCACAGGTTCAAACAGTTCAATGGGTCATCTTGTCTGGCAGCCAAAGAGTAGCCACAATCAGATTCTTCAGAGCACGTGTACAAAACTGCATAAACTGTGTCAGGATGGAAGTGTTCAAATCCTATTATCCTACTTCAAAAGTATTTTTCTTGTCCTCCTTTTCTTTACATTTTCTTTTTTTTTTTTTTATATCTTTTTAAGCTCTTGTCTCCAACCCACTTGCTCCCATGCTTAAGAGCAATGTAACCACAAATTTGAAGGGGCAGTTTACAAAAGTGGGGAGGTAGCATCAGACTTCTAAGCAGCTACTACAACTTGATGCAGATGTCTCTCTACACCCTTAATGTGCATGAGGAGACCTGAAATGATCATGACAGATTCACCATCCATAAACACATGATTAGAATGCTTCTGTCTCCATTTAGAAGACAATTAGGAAATTCTCACTCAGGCTGTTTTTTTTTAAGAAGAAACATTTGACTTTACCATAATCCTGAAGTCTCTTAGCAAGATCTACAGCTTCAATGTTAGCAGTTTTTTTGAAAGGTCTTGTATCCAGAATGAATTCATGGGCTACATAACCTGTGAAAAAAGAAGCATATACTACAATTACTTATTAGCAAAATAATGCAATCTACCAAGCAGTCTACTGATTGGTTTTATGGAGAACATGAAAAAAAAAATTAAAAATACTGACTTCGGCAAAACCTCAAACCTGAGAAATTATCAAATAAGAGACAGAAATGTCAGTAACTGAAGATGGCCCCCTGAGTCCCATGTCATATTAAGAAAAGGCCTCTTTTCCAAATCAGAGCTAGGAAAGGGTGGTCAAAATATATAATTTACAGGTACTCTGAAAAATAATTTGGTTTATCAGTGGCCCAACACTATTTGGGTCTTAGGCTATCCTGAATGAGCCAAGTACAAGATAATCAGTTTCATGTTATGCAGGAGGAAAGCTCAGATTTGGTATTATATAGAAGTTAAAGACATAAGTTATCTAAATTTATAGCCATGATCCTGGAGAACCTTGTTGATTTTCATTGCTATATCCTTCAAAATTTGCAGCTTCACTTCTGTGAGGAAACAACATATTCTCTTACAATGCAGCCTGCAGGTTTAGCCAAGGTATACTCCATTAAATTTCAGACATATTTTTACAAGCACAAATATAGCACTCAAATGTTCTTTGGTGCCACCCAGCTTTAAAAACTGAAATAGCATTCTCTGATTGTTACTGTAACAGATCTTTCACCTCTTCCTTAGTAATTCTGTCCTGCTGCAAGGGACAGCAGGACAGAAGGGAGAGAGGATGTAGGTAAAGAATTTTGCATTGTCAAGGGGATTCTCCCCCATCTCACAAAGGAGAATGAGAATAAGGAGTGGAAATGAGATAAATCTGGGGTGGGTTTTTTTGTGTTTTTTGTTTGTTTGTTTGTTTTTTGGGGGGGGTGGTTTTGTTTGTTTGTTTGTTTTCTTTTTTTTAGAGAAAGAGTGCAAGAGAAAGTACAGGTCCAAAAATTGCTTCCAGTTCTTAAACTGTTGTGCCACTGATTATGGGAAATTCAGAGGTCTCAACTTCATTGCTTCTCCTTTTTCTACTTTTTCATTGTACTCTGTCTTTTGGCATAATTTTATCTAATTACAAACACACACTTTTTCTTCTACTTCCAAGTATGTCCATTTCACTGCAGTACCTCACAGGAGCAGTGTGGCAGGTTACTTCTCTCCTCATGAACAACATCAGGAAAAGTTTGTGATGCAGCTGTCACATGGCATTAAAAGAGAGCCATATTGCAACCCAATCTGTACACTAGGCAAAAAACCCAGTTTTGCAGAAGAAAATAAATCATCCAATACTTGCCTTTTGCTCCTTTGAAAAGGATTTTGTAGTGCTTCTCTAGCCTCTTTGCCATGTAGTTTGCATTTAGTATAGCAACTTCAGAAGCATGTTTCAGACCCTTTGCTCCCATTGTCTGAAAGAGGAATAACATGAAGAAACAGATCTAAAACAACTCCCAAGCAAGCTAAGTGTGTTCTTGTACTGGGAAGCATGTCAGACAACATACAGCACCTTACTGTACCTGGCTAGTTTTAAGGCAGTCACACTGCTATTACACTTTTCCACACTACACTCACAGAAAAGCCCTTACTTGAGAGCAACATCAATATACATACCTTATGAAACTGCTTACTGTGTAAGAGTTTTTGCTTCAAGTCAGCAAGTGAATAACCCAAACATTTCCTCAAACTAAGAATTCTGAAGGGACTTTCTTCTGAAGAGAAAAGTGAGCAGAGCTCAAGAATGTCATCATCACACTTGTAAGGTCTGCACACATTGCTTGTCACCATCCTTACCTCCCAGGGAAGGTGCATTCAGATTGCTGCCCAAAAAGCTATCTTTACTGTCTGTGCAGATTATCCCAGCAGATCAAACCCTGCTTGCTGGTGTGAAAGTCAGAAATAATACTGTGCATTAACAATGACCAGAGCCAAATGAACACAGATGCACTTCTTTCTCTTTTAAAGCACCGCAAAAGGACAGTGCTAGAATTGAGCTGTGGTTCAATTTTTTAACACTGCACTTAGAAGTTAAGTTGGCAAAGGAGAAAGTGAAACAGCCTTCAAGGTAGCCCCTTTAAATGGGACAGTGTAAACAGATGGTACTTTGCACTGCAAAGAAACAGCTTCTCGTAATATTTTCTACAGTTTGAATATTCTGTAATACCCACAAGTGATTTTTACCCACAGCTTAAAAGCCACCATGGAAGTTGGACCAGCTCATATTTGTTTGTTTCAAATTCCACAAGAGCTGGCTTCCCTGAGTGCAGAAGCTTCCATGGTTAGAGTATCAAACTGGCTACAGGGTATTCCAAATAAGGCTGCCCTTAAGTTCATCATTCCAACTCTTCCTCTGACTGAAAGCTTTAAATGTTTCTCAGAGTCCCAGCACTCTCTCTTCTAAAACCAAACTTGAATCTACTCTCATCTCTGTTGGCTGAATACTTCCATATATGTAAACAAATATTTGCAGGCTTATCACTACATTGCAAGGCATTAAAAATTTATATACATCATGCTCAAGCTGTCTTATATCCAAAGCCAAAACAAACTTCAGTTTTCAAATTCAGTAACATCCCATGGAATACAAGTTCTTATTAAACAGATTTAGGAAAGTTAAATGTTACACACAGGTCAGGTATAACAACACAATCATACAAATAAATGCAGCTACAACAAAAAAATATTCTCAGAAGAACACTAACTGCAAAGAAGCTTTTAAACATGAAAACTTTCATGGCAGAGCCAGTGGAGGGGGGGCAAGCACGACTGCAGCTTTCTGCCTTGTGTCCACCTGTCTCAAGAATTATTGCAGACAAGAGACAGAAGAACCAAGCAGGCTGCAGAGGTGCAGCAGCTGTCCTGCCACACCTTCCTCCTGCAACGGATGGCAGTAGGCTGTTCCACTGTCCTACTGGAAAATAAGGAGCTTCAAAGGATCCAAGTAACCTATGAGCATGCCGTAGCCATATGCATTTCAGTCTGTCCAAACACCTTACAAGGAGCTGCTCTTAAACTTCTTCATGTGGTCCCAGTGGTCCTCAGACTTGCTGAAACAGAAACAGATCCTCAGCTGACACTCCTTATGAACAGTCTACGCACCTTGATATAAACCCAGGAAATGGGCAATATAGCACTGGAACCCCAAGGTGCAGCACTGACAGTACCCAAAGAACATGCATCCTTCTCCAGCTGTATTTTGATGACAGGGTGAGTGGGCAAGTAGGGAGCCAAATGTTTCTTCCTAAAACAAAAACATTAATTTTAGAACTTCAGTGTGTGCTCCTCTGTTACCATTTCTGGACAGTTTTAGCAGTAGCTTCTCTTCACCTTCCCTTCAAACACAGTTCTCCAGGAAGCAGACTTCTTGTATTCTTCAACAGAAAGTTTATTAGCATAACAGGTGACAATGGAAGATGGCACTCAGTTTTCAACATATCACAAAATACTCATGCAGCTACCCAAATCAAAATTATTTATTTTAAAGATTATTTTCTTTCAAAGGAATATGATTGCCCTACAGGATAGATTCATACAGTCCACGTACCACTTCTGTGTTCTAGACCATGTACAGTATCAGCCCTCAAAGTCCACAAATCACCTCTTCATTTTCTCAGAAAACAGACTGCTGAGCGAGGTCTACCATACACACTAAAGGGCCGGGTTTGGGAATACTCAAGAACCGAGCTTACCATTCATGAGATCAGCACATGACTATTCTGGGGAAGGACAAAAGTTTACAAACAACAGTACCCTTCTCCCATTCGTGGCTCTACTTCAGTGAACTGCCAACCAAGATTCATTAAGGGATTTTCTTTTTCTTTAAATTAAAGAAAAGGCTAATAAAGAGATACTTACACTCCAATCGGTCCCATTCCAGGTCCTCCTCCTCCATGGGGAATGCAAAAGGTTTTATGAAGGTTTAAATGAGAGACATCAGAGCCGTAATCTCCAGGACGACACAGACCCACCTGTGAAGGGAATACTCCATCTCAAGATATTCTTTACATGCCATTTTAAGACCTATTACTTCACTCAAGATAAATTGATAGAAAAAGATGTTACATTTTTCTGTTATTCTTTAATATGATACATCATAAACAAGGATTGATGCAAACAATTTTTTACTCTAGGAACTCTCACTCATATCTGTAAAGACTCTCTTTGATAAAGACTAGCCAGACCAAGCCAGTTTCAGTAAACAACCCATATATCTTACAACACATTTCAGGGCAAAAGCAGATAAAAGAGAATTATTTTCATCACTTGATTTTTATTGATGTTCTTGAAATCCCACCTCCTACCCCAAACACTGTGCTACCTTGTGAGGAACTTGTGTTATGGTCTGAACTGAGTACTGCTGTGCTAGTTTTATTCCAAGGAAACATATACTCCCAGTTGTAACCAATCTACCTAGGAGATTTTGTACCTGGGCATTCATATTTGCTCCATCTAAGTAAACCTGGCCTCCATGTTTGTGAATCAGGTCACACACATCTCCTATCTCCTCTTCAAACACACCATTGGTGGAAGGGTATGTGATCATGATGGCTGCCAAGTTCTCTTTGTGCTTGTCCACCTGTTGGCATGGACGGACAGACAGAAAAGGGTCATTGAGGCTCCTAAAGCTTGTTAAGAGAAGGTTATTAAAAAAATATGTAATTAAGATCATCAAGTGTTTTACAGGTGAGAAGCAAACCTATCAACAGGTAATAATTTAGAGTCAGCAAAAGATACTCAGTTCTTTCCTTCAGCAATGCCTATGGAAAGACTGTTTTCTCAATAAATCAGAACTTTACATCTAGGAAGAAGGCACGGTATTAAAAGATGTATGTATAGCAGTAACCTGTGGGACCTTAAGACAAGCCAGGTGAAATGTCTGGCCTTCAAAGAAATGTGATCTAATGACCATCCCCCTACTTTCAGCAATAGTTCCATGACTACCATAAAAGCCAGCTCAAATATGTGCATTTGGAAATGTGTTCTGCTAATCCTTTCGATTCCCAAGATTCACCTGCAGCCACTCTAACCAAGAAAGTGAAAAAAGTTGCCTAGCAACACCCTTCCCAGCAGAGATGGGCCTGAGCTTTGCTAAACAAAGGCTAAGTGCAGTTTCAAATGCTTCATGCTCATGAACATGCTTCATTCATTTTAAATACTAGAGGTAGACCAAAAGGGTCTGCTGAAAAGAGCCTGCTGTATTGAAAGACCCTCTAAACCCACTCGTACACCAAAGATCCTCAAACTAAAGGAAATCTCACAACTGTCACGTGACTAATGTCTGAGCACAAAAAGGGAAATAATTTCCCAGCCTTTTCAAGTATGTATTCACTATTATTGCCCTGTTTTCTCTCAAAGAAAAATCTGATTCAGCTGCCAACACTATTACCTGTAGAGAAGAAGCAGTGTTCCTGCCTCAAAAATAAAAGATTAAATACTTACCATTGCTTTTAAATGAGGGATGTCAATGCTCCCATTTTTATCCACTTCAATTGGCTGAATCTTCATCCCTGCCATTTGTGCACTTGCTGGATTTGTACCATGAGCAGATTTAGGAATAAGGCAAACCTGAGAAGGGAAAAAGAAGGAAGGGGTAAACTATAACTTGTTAAAAAATCTTGGGTAAAAAAACTATCTTTGCTGCAGAAGTCATATTTAAGACTGTAGTTCCAAAATATTATCTCAGATGCTCACATTTAAAACCCTTTCATCCTCTTTTTTTTAAGGATTTTTTTTTTTTTACAGTAATCAGTCTCCATATGTACAATGACTTGAAAGGAAAACCTATCAAATTTCAACTTTCTGCCTCATCCTCAGCATTTTCTTCTGTATTCTGTTCAAAACTAAAATTTAGACTCAAATATTTTTGCTCTAGATAGGAAGTTTCAGATGGCTACTTAAATGCTTTATGCAGTTCATAAAAAAAAAAAAAAAAAGAGAAGTGATTTTACTTAAATGTAGGTTCTTGCTACTGCTAGTTAGGAAATGGAGCATAGGCTACTTCCAGATATTTGCTAGGAACTCCACCCCTTCTAAAGGCAGCATCTATACCTTTTCTAAAACAATTGCTTGCTTATGTTCAAGGAGGATATCGAAACATTTGTCTGTTACAGTTCTCTTGGAAGGATTAATTTCACTAAGTTTTGCAAGTTCCTCAAACTTAACTGCATTAAATAACTGACAGCAAGGCATTTTCTTTTCATGGAAAACTGTACAATGGTCTCTACTTCATGTTCCATAGAGATGGTGAGAAAAAATGTTGATTACTTTAAAAGCTATTCCAAGGAACAGACCTATCTGTCTCAGCACCTGGATATTTGCTCCTCTTTCAGTAGAACTGTCCATGTTGTAGCGTACAGCTGCGCTGAAAGGAAACACGGACATCCCACCCCAGTGCTGGGAAGCTCTGCAGCACATCTGTAGCCATTGTAGCTGCACAGCAGAAATGTAAAGGGAGTCTAGCTTGCCATGCAGCCCTTTGGGGCTGCATCTGCAGCTGTTGGGTATGGACTTTATCAGCTAGGCAAAAAAGTGGACAGATATGAGCTGTCAGTTAATGCCAGTACTTTTTTTCCACAAGAGAGCACCAAATGCAAATGAGATCAACTGGAAGAAGCATCATTTACAAGTTGATCCACTTTCTCCAGCCCAAGAGAAAAACATCACTTTAGTTGAAATGTCAACATTTTGTGGTCTTTCTTATTCTCTTTTTTTCCCCCAAGATTATTGTGATTTTACTGTAATATCTGATATCTGTTAAGTGTGAGTAACTGCAAGCAACCCCCAAGCTCTCTTCTTTCTAGTTAACCTCTGGACATCTCTGAGCATAGAAGGACCATAGACACTCACAGAAGCCCAAGGATCTTAGATAGGATAAGAGAAACAGCAAAGTATATGTGGATAATCAGAAGGTAACTGTCCAAGGAATAAGATTTCTACCTCATTTCCTTTCCCACTGAGTAAAACTACTCACAAAACAAAGCTTGTAATTGTAAAGAGTGGCTGAATTCCAAATAGCCTGAGATGATTTGGATGTACAAAAAAAGACAGAACAAGACAACACTCACTATGCAATTACAGGTAGCTCCCTCACACAGAGGTTACAGTTCCCAGGAGGTCAGGACAATGACCATGCCTTTCTGAGGAGGCAAATGAGTTCTAAAGCCCAGTATAAAATCAGGTTTAAAAGACAGGGATACTACTGCACTAAGGACTTTTTTTCCTACCATTTAAAGCCAGCTGTCCGAGTGTGTAAAGGAAGGTCTAACTAATCTAAGATGTCCAAGAAGTTTTTGATGTGGTCTCAGAAAATGTTCCTAAACTAATTTCCAGTGGGGTAAGTGGGAAGATTCACATGGATAAAAATTTCATGACAATACAAGAAAAAAACCTGAAAGATAAACAGTCAGTTTTCACTGCAGAAAAAGGTCATCGTAATAGAACATTTTAAGTATCTGTGCTAGTTCCTTAACATTTTCCCTTATTTATAGTTGGTTTAAAATGGAAATATACAGTGAAATGCCAAATATTCTGCTAATCAAAAATCACCCAGGTCACTAAGGGAACTGATTGTATAGTTCAGAAAAGTAATATTCAAAACACAGTGTCCTGCAGCCAGACATCTAGAACACTACACAAGGAAACAGATCTTAATGGTACACATCTAGGACCACAGTTTTGAACCGATCATCTTTCAAAAGATCTTGCAGTGTTGCAGGGGGAAGAAAAAATGCAACTGCATTAAAAACTAGAAAGTAAACCAAAAAAAAGGAACACAGAAGCTCTGAGGATAGCGATGAGATGGCTTTTTTGAGAAAGATGGATAAATAACTAGAATCCAACTAGGGAAACAGAATGAGGATGGACAAGGATAAAACAAACCCCTCAGAATTAACACAGTATGCCAGCTGTGAACAGGGAAGAACTGCTCATTATCTTTTAAGAGTGAGAGTATTAGATGAAACTGTAAGCAGTCAAGTTCAGTCAAGTTCCAAAAAATAAGAGAAAGCATATCTTATGAGGAAATATGATTATATGATAATGGGTGATGAAACTGCAGAATGTTTTCTCCAAGATACTGTAAATATCAGAATTTCCCTCATAAAAGATAAAGGGATCAGATTTAATTTTTAAAAAAATGTACAAGCAGTACCTTAGGATTCACTTAAAATAGAAAGTTCCCACACTAAAGATGTGCAGGTGCTGGGGCTGTGTGCTGGGTATCATTGTATACCTGGTTTGTCCTTCTGCTCCTCATTGCAAGAGGAGTCTACCAGTTGGCTATTGACCACTCTAAGACTAGATGCTGGGACTGACAGACATTTGGTCTGGGGTAATCTGGCTGTTCTTCTATCACAAGCATCTCTCCAAAATGAAACTTTTACCACTAACTTCTCACATTTACGTATTTCAACCTATTTCACTTCCAGTTAAACTCATACCTAACACTTCCAAATAATGCAGCCTTCCTGCCAGGCACCACAGATTATTCAGAACACATCCAGATTTTTCAGCTATAACTGCCTGGCATTGAATGCAAATAAAGAATTCTCTTCAAAAGAAAACTGGAATTCAAAATTTTACTTAAAATAGTGTGCCACTAAGAGCTGATTCCTCTTTGGTGTTAACTACAGTTATATCACCTCTCAGGTTTACAAGAACTCAATTTTGTCAGGTTACAACGGTGTAGCTGAGAAGCGATTCCTTAAGGTCAGATTTTCAGGAAGTTGATATAGAAGTGTATACAAATCAAGGCTTCAAACTCTAGTGTCACCGACTGAGATGATCCTCAGTTAATCAAACTGGATTTGCATTATTCATCTAGAGTTTTTGTGGCCCTTGTGAAGCAAGGTTACCTCCACATATCCTACAGAAATTTATTTGAAACAGTTTGATTGGACAAGAACGGGATGAACCTACAGACTTCTGTGAGTAGTTACCGAGGTATACAAGAGGCTTGTCTGCTTCTTCTGTCAGGAGTGGCTATACTGGGAACCAACTCATGTTACAAGCAGTGTAAGTTTTAGATAATCTGTTGCTGTTCCCTTGGAGAGGGTGTGTCATACCAGCCTTAAAAAGCAAAAATAAATGTCATTGTTCATTTTCTTTTGAGGCATGGACATCTGGGCCGAGACCCACCTTACTTAGGATCCAAATCACTGTTTCACATTCCTGAGTTGCCTGTGGGATAGCTTTAGTGGTTAGGTTCATCCCTCGATCATGAGCCTAATCCAGCCTTTTGTCCCTAAACATCCTGATGCTTCATGGGCTCACTGAGCTATGAGTAACTCACCCTTAAGTTCCTAGTCCAGGTCTACCGGAGTCTCTTCAATTCTGGCAGCCTGGTCTACCTGCCTGTTGTTTTGGTGTTCAGTGGTGCTGTCCTTGGGCTTGTGAGCATATGTATGACATGCACTTTTACAGTAATGCCTCCTACCCAGGCATCAATATCTTGCCAGAAGGAGTCTACCTCTGCACAGCCAGTTGGTCTGTTTCCAGTGATGCGGCCACTCTCACAGGGCATTTTCCACCATCCAGGAGTCAGTACTGACACACAATACTGGCTGCTTTTCTCGTCCAGCTATCTCTAGAGCCAAATTCTGCAAACTGGCTCAACTTGCCTTTTCGTTTGACAGCTTTGACAACATGTGGTGTAGTTTTCTACACAGTAGCCTTCCACTTCCAGTGGTTTCCTACAACACAACAGCATCCACTGGAAAACAGACCATACTGCTTTTCACCTTCTGGTAACACATTGTAGGGTAGCAACTCTTGCACATGGGTCACCTCCATGAGCAAGGCTTTGAAATTTACACCCTTTGATGAGTCCACGATCTCTTCTAGGATTCCTAGGTGGTTGGGGTTCCCCACGCAAGCCTGTTGTATGGCTAATGTTACCCACTTACTCTAAGCAGTGTCCTTTGAAGATCCAGAACAGCACAGGCAATGGTGGTGCCAAGAGGAGCTCTGCTTCTGCACCAACAACTTCTGAAACAACTTGCCCTCTCTCATACACTGCTAGTATCTCTTTTTCAGACAGATCTTCAATACCCCCAGCTCAAAAACCCTAAAGGCTGACCTTGTATTTCTCCAGGTGTTTTCTGTCAGAGGCTCCAGCTGAGGCTGTGCTCCCCAGCTGCAGCATACAGCAGGTTTCTTATAGGTGGTCCCATCTGGATGGGCCCAAGGGCTACCACACAAACTATCCCCATTTTGACCTGTTCAAAGACCTGTTGGTATTCAGGGGCCCACTCAAAATGGTTCTTCTTTAGAATCACTCAGTAGGGAGGGCTCACAAGCTGATTGTAACCTGGCATGCACATCCATTCTCCAGTAATCCACAATGCTTAGTCAAGCCTGTGTTCCTTTCTTGTCAGCTGGTGGGGACATAGTTACCACCTTAATGATTGCAGCCGGAGGTGTGTGACAATGTCCAGCTTGGCTTTTAGTCCCAAGGACTGGATCTCTCCTGCAGATGCTCTGACCGTGCTTTGGTTTTGTGGCAACACCAGCTTTCTGAATGACCTGGATTATTCACAAACACCTTCTCTGCTGTGTTGCACCATCCCTGCACTGCAGGTGTTCAGGGGCTTCACCCTGTTCCAGTCAAAGACTGACAAGGCAGGTGAGGCTGTGCCTTCCAGCACTGGTGTTGTTGGTTCCAGGTGTATTGGACACCTCTCCATATAAAAGCAAACCATGGTCTGCACTCTGCTGCCAAAGGGATAAAGAATTGACAATATCAATTGACTGCTTGGCTGCCTGTGACTCCCGTTCATGCTGGAGTTCTAGCTTGTCCCACACAGCAGCACTCACTGGAGGTACCCCTTCATTCAGGCCATGACAGCCCACTGTTAACTTCCACCCTCTGTCAGACTTCTGCACTGATCTTATGGGACTATTGAAGGGTTAAGTCTTGCTTATCATTCTTTGGCTCTCCAATAGATGAATCAACTTACAGAGGGTCACCAGGGAGTCTGAACTGGTGCAACCCTGCCACTAGTGCCCCATCATGGTAGTAATCAGCACCTGCTGTTTTCATGCAGCAACCCTACAATGCAGAGGCCAGGCAAGGCAGACAGTCACTTAATCTTTCCATCCAGTATGGCTACAGCAAAGGCCCATCAGTACCTTCCTAGGTTTTTCAAATACCCTCCTCGGAGGCAGTCTATGCCAAGGATACATGGAGACTCTGGGCCACCACCATAGGATGCTTCTCCCATTTGTTACCTGTTACACTCGTCTCAGCATCTAGCACACACAACTGTTGGCATCCACCTGACACTCCACAAATCCAGATGGGTCCTGCCCCATCCCACCCAATGGCATTATAGTACACTGTGTACCACTATCCACCAAAGCCTTATACCCCCATAGATCCAACATGCCAGGCCATCAAATCCATACAGTTCATTAATCTCTGTCATCCATTTCCTCCACTTAGCCAGAGGGAGGGACCTGTTACTCCTGATTTTAGTATTTGCTTTGTGACTCTGTGGTGTCAGATCAGGAGTCCCTTCACCCAACTCAGGATGAGAGGCATTTTCAGACCTTATTCTGTGTCTGATGGACTTATAGTTGCTTTCCACTGTCTTGGCAGCAACTAGTGTGGGCAGCCTTCTTGGTCGGTCCCTTCTTAGCAGCTGTCTTCCCCTGTAGTTCAGGTACATGGGCTTCTAGCTTGGAGGCTAGTGCATCATCCCTCTTCCTTGTGTCCTATCCCAGCCAGGAAAGAAGAAACAGAGGGTGCCATGTGGTGTGCACCTGTGGCAACCTTCTCCTCTGGCAGGGGGTAGGCTGACTCCACAGGGCACCCCTGACAGCCAAGATACTCCCTGTGGCGATAGGATTCTTTCTGAAACACCTTGGCAATGCGAGACAGTCTCTCCACAGTTGGTATCTCAAGGTATGGCCAGTCCATCATCACCAGTGCATGGGCATATGATACTGATACATTTTTGACAGACCTCCTCTACATGGTCCATGTGTACTGCATGTCCTGCAGATCTGTGGAGATCTGATTGTTATCCAGGTCACTGCAGATCACCATCACTGCTAATTATCTTAGATACTGAACACCTTCTTCAGCAGGGGTTCAATTCCCTCAGTAATTGGCATGATCACCCTTGAGACACCTCACACTCGACAGGAACCATCTCCAGAGGCTGCAGATTGTCAGCTGTCTTCTGATTTCTTCGTTGATCCCTGGTCCCTCGTGATAAATCCCAGCTGCTGGGCTTCCCGACCCTCAATTCCTGACTATCCCATGCAGCATCCTAGCATTTGAGCAACACAGCAGTAATATGCTTGCCTGGTTGGCCAACATAATTTTTCTGCCAATCTTGGATCTTGTTCAGGATTAGGGATGGGGTGGTTTCTGCCTCTTGGGTGACTTCTATCACTTCTTTCTTACATTTCCTTGCCAAAGGACTGTCTTTCTGATCAGACTCTTCTTCATCCTCCTTTACTAATTAATGAAACAGTTCCCCTGATGACTTTCACTACCAGTACTTCCTTTTCACTACTGGGGCAATCACCGTGGCTGTGATTTGGGTCCGTGTCTCAACTATTGTGTCCTTAAAGGCAGAGGCTCACTTTCCCCCTGCTGCTGTGATGGTACTAGAGAGAGGCCCCCCAGGCACAGGCCAAACCCCAAAAAAGTGCTAGGACCTGCTAGATCTCATTAGGGTAGGCAAGGCACCTTTCCATCAAATAGTGTGCAAATCCAATGGGATTACATGCCTGTTCAGGTGTAAAATCCCAGGTTATAGGAGCTGATAACAGCCTTAGACACCTGCCCAAACCCTGTGACACACCCCGTCTCCCAGCGATCAGCCACGTCCCAGCACATCTCTCTGTCATCTCAACAACAAATTGTTTGCTCTTAGGCCAAGACCAAACCAGGTTCCACACACCCAGCAAGAAGCCAACAATGTTAGACAGTACCATCAAATACATTATGTATGGAGCATAAAAAACTCAGGAGTCCATGCAACAGAGCTGGACAAGACCAGCTCTAAAGAGGGAGGTGTAACTGCTGGTTCTCTCCACAAGGCAGCTCACGCAGCACAGGAACAGCATCACAGCCAGGGCTGTATGCCAGTCCAGGCATAAGGCCAATGCTTTTATCAGAATGCTCCCAAGCACAGAGAAATACATTGAAAAGCAGCACAGCAAACAGCAAAGGCCAAAAGCAGCCATTAAGAAGCCCTAAAGCCTAATACACAGTAAAGCAAGCAAGCTCTGTGACCCACACAGGGGCGTGCCAGTTAACAAATTAACATGCTTAGTTCAAAACTGTCATTACCTCAAGCCCCACGCTGCATGCCAAAAAAGGACCATGACAGGCTGCCCCAGCCAATGGCCAAACACTCACACAGCTGCTCACTTATTCCTGTCTCACATGGGGTAAAGAGAAAATAGAAGTAAGGTAAGAAAACTCAAGAATTTAAAGAATGACAGTTTAACAGGGAATACAAAAGCCATGTGTGCAAGAAAAGCAAGAAGAGGAATTTATTCATTACTTCCCATGGCCAGGCACTCCCTGGAAGGCAGGATGGTTGCTTGGGAAGAAAAATGCCATAACCATGACCTATCCTGTTTCGCCCTCCTTGCCCTGACCTTTTATTGCTGAGCATGCCGTTATGCAGCATGTAACATCCCTTTGGTCAGTTTGGGTTACCTCTTCTGTCTGTGTCTCTCCCAGCTTCTCGCCTGCCCCTAGCCTATTGTCCTGTGAGGGGGATGGTGGGTGAGGCAGTGCAGAGTGGGAAAGACAAAGCCCTGACACTGTGCAAGCACTATTCAACAGCCAAGGCATTCCTCTGTAACCCACACTGCTTTAGTCACAAATCCAAAGCACAGCACCATATGGGCTGCTATGAATAAAGTTAATTAACTCCACCCCAGCCAGACCGGGCACAGTACCCAGCACTCGCACTTTAAGTAAGTCTCCTTTCCTCATTCCCATTGTTTGTAAAGAAAGGCTTCTAAGACTGTACCCAGGAACCACCAGAGAAGCAGGGAATACTGAAAACTTGTGACAGATGAGGATATGTAACCTAGGTTTCTCTCTAGGTGGGCCCTAGCCACTGAATCAACTCTCCTTTCCCCACTTCCCACCCAAAGCTCTTCCCCACATGAGTGTTGACACTTACAGTTCTATGACGTTCACCTTTTGCATTTAAATAAGCTTTGATGGCAGCCAAACCTGCATATTCTCCTTGGGCTCCACTGCAAGAGGAACACAAACCCTGTTACACAAGCACACAAAACAGAAAGTGCCAGATTTCTCTACTGAAACTTCAAAATTGTCCAGCCCCAGCACTAATCCTTCTCAATGGCTTTAGGCAAGTGTCAGCAAATAAAAAGAGGCACATCCCAATGACAAAATTACAAAATGGACAAGCATTAATTAACAGCTCTTGCCTCTTTTGCAAACAGTAGATGACAAACATGCCATTTTATGTGCTTACACTATGATGTTAAATCCTTTGGGTGACTGAGTTGATCCCTATTTCTCCATCTAGCAGTGAACTAAATGCTTGACTACAGAAAGGCAAACTAATACTGAAATGTTTAGTGAAGTGTACACAGTGAATCATAAGAAGTCCTCCAGTGACATCCTAAGTGTAAAGCAAGTTCTTGCTGCTCCTGTTGTATCATAAAACAGGCTGCAACAGTACTCACTCAGATCTGCTTTATTTATGTCAGTGAGCATGCAGATCCTAGACATTCTTCAGTCAAATCTAGAATTACTTAATACATCAAATACCAATTTCAACAACTATATAATTACCAGCTCATACAGCTTATTCCTATTTCAAATCTTTAATTTTAGCTCATAGGATGGTATCAGTAACATCAACGTTTTAAGCAAGCAATAGAAAAGAAATCAGCCTTCACAGAGTGGAACACATGGGGAAAAAAGACTGAAAGAACAGAAAAGACCAAATCATTAAACTTTTAGAAGAGGAAAAACAAAATAAGGTTCTGCACTTTTGAAAAAAAACAATTACTGTTATCATAAACTTGCATTCAAGGCTTCTCTTTGTCAAACATAACTTGACAAACTTGTATTTTTGCTTGTGCATTTTCTTTAGAGGTAAGTTTTTGAAATCATTGTGTAGAAAAAATTTCCTACCTGTTTGGTTGGAAGGAGATTTTGTCATAGCCAGTAATCTCACATAGGTCCTTCTCTAAATCCTTGAAAAGCTGCTGATACCCTTGAGCTTGATCCAGGGGCACAAAAGGGTGGATGTTGGCAAATTCTTTCCATGAAATAGGCTAGTTAGAAACAAACAAAAAAACCCCATGTGCTGTAACAAAAAAATTTCACACACAACTCTTACCTTGTTAAAACTCTGTGAAGGGAAGAAGTTGCCCTGTGCTCTAATAAACACCAAACATCTCTTGTGCATCAAGACAAATTCCCAAACTCATCATAGGATGCGGCCTGGCTGAACAGAGAGCTTTGGCTGAAACTCAAGTAAAAGAGGGAATTTATGGCCTTTGGAAGAAGGAGCAGACAATACAGGAGGACTACAAGGATGTAATGACATTCTGCTAGGAAAAATTAGAGGGCCCAAAGTGCAGCTAGAACTTAATCTGACTACTGCCATAAAAGACAATAAAAAATATTTCTATAAATACATTAACAGCAAATGGAAGCCTAAGGAGGATCTCCATCCTCTACTGGATGCGGGGAGAAATACAGTGACCAAGGATGGGGAAAAGGCTGAGATACTGAATGCTGCCTTTGCCTCAGCCTTTAACAGTAAGAGCAGTTGTTCTCTGAGTGCCCAGCCCCCTGCACTGGATAACAGGGATGGGGAGCAGAATGAAGCC